AGGGTTGGGGGTCACCACCCCATGAGGAACTGTATGAAAGGGTCTCAGCATCAGGAAGGTTGAGAACCACCACTTTAGAGATCTGAACACAGAAGACCCTTGGGTGCAGGGGCCCAGGTTGCTTGAGAAGGACTAACCCTGTGTGGGTTTGTTGGTTTTTTAATCTCAGGACTTTGTCAACGTTTGTGTTCCCTGTCATAATGTAGTCTGTAGAGACGTTACGATGCTGGTATCCCCATCACGGAACACGGACCCACCACAGCTGATGAGGTCGTGCTGTACATAGTGAGCGGGAACCCCAAACATCCATCGGACTCACAGCCACCCCACAGGGCAGAGCGGAACTGCTCCTGAAGTCTTACAAAACCCTAACTCCTTCTGCAAGCAGACAGCTTCATCTGCCGCCCAAAGAGCAGCCCATCGCCGAATCCACCACGCTACCAGTGCTGCTTGATGACATCGTCAGATGCTTGCTGAGTTGGTTCCGACCCCTAGCACCCGATGGACGTGAACCTCACCCTGCCTGGTCCTTGGCCAACCTCACAGTGGTTGTTGGAGGCCATGGTTGCAGCGACCCTGGCAGTCCATCTCCTGGAGGGTGTCCCTCCTGTTTCCTGACCCTCTGTGGGATCAAGCGGTGATGTCCTTCTCCAGGGACGGGTCTCTGCTGATAACACAACCAACACGTGAGGGCTCTCGCCATCGCTGCTTCTCAGGAGCATCTTCCACGACAGATCTGTGTGTTCTTCTGCCAGACGGGGCCCTTTCAATAGTCCTCTCTAGACCCACCATGCAAATGCTCCTTCGTGAGCAGGAAGGAGCCAGGAATCCACATGCTTTAGTCAGACCCAGGAAATTGCCAAGAATACCCAGGCAATTCAGAGGCCTGGTTGTCATTGAAGCTTCTAGAGACCCAGGCGTCCAGACTATGTCAAGATATCCCCGCTCCCCAAGTGAGAGACAAGTGGCTGATCCTTCCTTACAAAGAAGGCATAACACTAGCTGAACCTCTGGCCTCAGGAGGCATCTTGTTTCCATCGGCATGGGCTGCGCCCACTCGTTGACCGAGTCACTCATAAGGATGCCGGTTTTCAGTGCCTCCCAAAGTGGACTCAGGCTGCGGTGCAAGATACTTACTTGTAGGCAAACCTAGGACCCAGGAGCGTTTACAATGCGCATGAGCTAAGGATGCTATAAGGAGCCTCTAACAACTTTGAGGACTTGAAACAAAGTCATGTCCTCTCCCACAAATAACAGTTGTCCTTCTGAGAATCAGCTCCTGGCTTGCTACCAGGTCTGATAGAGACCGGATGTCTGACCATGCGACACTAAGCCACGAGGCAACCTGAGCTGCCCATCGTGGACTGGATGTCCTCTGATCTTTTAAGCCACAAAGATAGTCACGCACAACAGTATTCGATCATTACGTGACATTTTCTATTGTCTATTCCTGCTGCAGGGCTGCCTCTTCTCCAACCAACACCGAAGACCTCAGGGCGAGTACCCTGGGATCTGCTGTGCAGGAACAGAAGACACAGACCTGGCACCCACTGGAAGCAGAGGGTTGCAAAGGATAGGAATAGCCCGGAAAGACCTTGGGAAAGAGGAGGGATGCTTTCAGGGAGCAGAATTTCAAGCACTACATAGGGTTTTCCACTGCATCTGGGGTCGGCACACTGTTGGGGGGTAGCCAGCCCCCCGCAACTAATCACGGGTTCGGTAGGCGCAATTGTATGGTTAAGATATCAAGATTATGGTAAAGTCGAAGAAAAATAGGAGAGATGGAGAGTGTCCTATAGAGGTGTGAGACAGTTTTTTTTGTCGTGTTCTCCTCTGCTCTTCTTTTTGTTGTACGTGTGGGTGTGGGAGACGAGGGCAGGAGAGAGCTCTCGTGAGGTTTTATTTCTATCCAAAGCTTGTATACCCTTGCGGGCATGCAAGCCTCCTGATTACAGATGACCAATATCATAGGAAGGGGTTGTAACAGGCAATACAAGCAATAGGAGGGGGATGACCTAGGGGTGTATGCGCAACAGTAAAGGGAGGGAATGGGGGTACATATATGGCAAGATGGGCGGATCCTAGACCCTATAGTAGCCTACACTTAGTCATCCTTGAGTGGTCCCCAGCTTGCCTTCGGGCTCTCCTTCAAGGGAACTTATCAGAAGGGAGTGGGCCCTCCTAAGGGCGAGTCAGACTCTACAGTCGGGTTGCTCTAGAGGGCTGACCTCTAGAATAACCTCTGACCTACTTTCCTTGACCTAGTGTACAGTCATTTACCAGGTGTAGCAAGCAGCATCTTGGGTGTGGCATCTATCTGGGGGAGACAACTTGGGAGAGATCTTACTGTATCCCACACACTGTGGCTCTCGGACCATGTGTGTTTCTTTCGATATGTAAATGTGGCTCTGAAGTAAAACTGGGGAAAAGTGAATGGCTGGTATTCAGATCATGGTGTTTTCATTGTTTGTAAAAATATATTCATGGCTCTTGAATCATTTTTAAATTTTGTGAGGGGCAGGATTGGCTCTTCTGTCTCCAAAGTTTGCTGACCCCAGCTCTAGAGCTGTTTAAGTTTCCAGACTTATTTGGCCTTCTGTCCCAGTTCCCTTATTTGGCCTTTGCTCCCTGAGAAAAAATTACTCAGCACCCCTGGCAATGAAAAACGTTTGTACTATAATCCAGGATAAAGTAACTGTTTATAGGCCACCCTGACCGCAAAGTCAGAAACAACCAGATGGCAGAGTTAGGGTTGGCTGGTTTGGATCGTTCCAGCAGCAGCACCACCCCCCACCCACCACCCACCCCCTGGGGATGGGAAACACGGAGGCTGAAGTCTGGAACTGGAGGCTGAAGTCCGGAACTGGAGGCTGAAGTCCGGAACTGGAGGCTGAAGTCCGGAACTATGAAACTATGTGTACTCCTGGGTGGACGGTTTGCCCGGATGATGGGGAACATGGAAAGAACAAGACTGGAAGGCGAGTCATGAGGTGTGAAGGAGCAGGTCCACCATGGATGGACCCTTAATAGGCACAGGATGAGAACATTCGTGTTCTGCATGAATGTTTCCCCCAAGGGGCACTGCAGGGAGGACGGCTCTCAACAACCCGATGGCCAAGATGACCTCTTCTGCAGATGTCAGCCTTTCCCTGCCACCTTCATCCTAGCTCACTAAGCTCGTGCTCAAAATGGCCATGATCATTGGGAGGGTGGTTGTAATCCACTTAGCAACATGGACTTCCAGGCTTGAAGAGGGATCTAGCCGATGTCACTGTTGGGTGTCTAACCTGTGCAGAGTTCCTGAGATGGCACGGTTGCCCATGGGGGCTAGTCACTGAGTAGCAGGATGATGAGGCCAAACCCCCTTTCCATCATGGGTACCTTTCACCTTCTCTGACCACCACACCTCCATGGACTTGTGAACACCATGGTGCCTGTGGGGTGCTCCATCCAGCATGGCTTCTGAGCTGATAGTGCAGCGAGGCAAATGCGGGGGTGTGATTATGCCCGTGGAAATGTCCTGGCTTCACCATGGGCTCTACGGCTTAGAAGCAGTGGGACTTTTGGGACCTTGAGATAGCCCATTTCAGAATGCTCACAGTACCAGCTGGAGGACACTGCAGTGGGAGCGTCCGGTCCTCCAGCACGCACTGCATGCTTGGCACGCATCACTGACAAGCAGTGTGGTTTCTTCTACAGCCAGAAAGTGGGTCCAGTGACACAAGCTCACTGTGACACCCAACACTACCCCAGTTGTGAAAATGTTGCTCCCCGCCCTTGAGACCTTGTACTTTGATGGTTTAAAAGCTGTTCCCGAGGGAGGGAGGTTTCTATCAGGGAGTGCATCAACAGTTCCGTTGCATTAAACATGGAGGCTGTCCACCCCACCATGGCCAGCTCCTCCTATCACTGGCCACCCAAAGAACTGGATTACTGGACAGACGAGTGGTTGACCCTGGTCACTGAGGAAGGTGGAGTTCCTGCCACACAATGGCCATGTGGACGACTCTGTGAGGAAGCCAGGGTACTTCGTGAGGTGCCTCCCAGTACTTCCTCGTCCAAGTTCAACAGAAGAGCACAACAGCCCAAGGACCATCCCTGTTTAAGTCCCGTCCACGACTAACCCATCCCAACCACCTGAGATGCCGACGGAGGGCAAAGAGCAAGACTCATTAGTCGGGGGTGGGGGGAAAGAAAAGAAACTGAAACTATCAACCACAGATTTGCAATCAACTACAGACATGGAGACGGTAGCAGCGGTGACCATCTTCCTCCTTGCCCACGCCCACACGGACATTCACATTATGGAATGCTGGTGACGGCTAAGGGTACGGTGTGATCTGTACTTCACGTACACTCGGGTCTGCGGGTGACTTCCAGAACTAGGAACCCAGGTCATCCAGCATGATGGCACTACCGGGTGGAGATCTGTGGGGATTCCTGAGGGCAGATCCATCTTCTTGAATGGGAAGCTAATGATGAGTGGAAGGGCGTTACGGGTGTTTGTGTAGCCAAAGAGGTGGACAGTGCCTGATGGTCTGTGGTCTCCAAAGCCTGCTCTTGGCCTGTTTTCTTGTCATCTTGATGGGAAACACACACACACACACACACACCACACGTGAATTCTTACACCTTTTTAATCCCCCTGAAAAATATAACTTTACCTTACATTTCACTAATCATACTTCGAAGGATTTCATGTCCTTTGGGTATTTGTAACCCATGTCCCCTTTGAGAAACTTCTGTGGGCACGAGCCCTTGCAGGTCTGTGTGCGCGTGAGTGAATGATTGAGGATGTCCTCTGTAGACTGTGAGGCAGGGCGCCAAGAGAGGTGGGTTTATGTCAAGGTCAGGGCTCTGAGAAACCAATCCGGAGCCATCCTCAGACCCAGCCCTGAACTCAACTCTGTGTACTCCTGTGGAAGAACTCGGGCCGAAGCCTCCTGTCTTCTTCTGTGGGTTCCACCCTTTGGAAAAGAGAGCTCGATGGACAACAGAGGTTTAGAAATGAAAAGCGACTGCTCCCCCCGGATGCTTTATTGGGGCGTTCAGTGGTTTGTTTCTAAGCAGTGAGCGGCAGTGCCTACCCCCTAGACCCTTTCTCAACATGCAAAAGGCACAGGAAAGTGAGACATGACCCAGGTGGGCAAGGTGAATACCGAGACCCCCTCCTAACGTGGTCTGGTGGGGCTCGGGGGGGAGCCCCGTGAGTGGTGAGAAAGGTGGGTTTTGAAAGGAGATGGCTTTGGCCGAGGTTGGGACAGGGGTCTGAGGCTCTTCTACCTCTGGGCCCATGCCTGCACTTGGGCCGGGGCTGACCTTCTGGGAAAAGGCCAACATACATGGCTTTAAGTGGAAGTCCCATCTCCCGAGGTGGGAACACTAAGCCCCGGGTAGGCGATGATGGGTACTGCCTTCGGGATCGGTCTGTGTCAAACCACCCCCCACCCCACCCCAGGAAACAAGAGCGGGGTGAGAAGGGCTAATGGTGTCAGCCCCAACCACGGCCCAGTTTGGGGGTGCCACTTCCTTGGCTCGCTACAGTGCTGTCTCAGTCCAGGTCCAAGGGAGAAGTGACGCTCCTTCTGGTCTTCAGGGGGTGCCCACAGGGTCTCTAGGTTTGCAGCCCCAGCCGGAGGTGCTGGTTAGAAGAGTGGAGTCTTGTTGGCTTTGTCCTGTGGAAGAGTGCCCGGGCAAGAGGGCAGGGGAGGCGTAGGGTCAGGCCTTCTCAGCCCCCAGCCCCTCCCAGAGTCTAGGGCCTGGGCGGGTGAGACAGCCGGGGGCTCACCTCAGACCCTAACCAGTCCCCACCGTTCCATCTGGACACCTTGAATCAAAAGGAAAGGCATCGAGCTCTGTGTGTCTCCTCTTCTTTAGCAGCGCCGTGGCCTCCACGCACGGCACTGGCAACGTCTACTTCTAAACTATGGAATGTGTTCACGCTGACGCTAAAATTACTCAGAACAAGGGGCGGGGGGAGTGGGGGGCTGTCCACGTGTGGGCAAAACGTTGTTACTGAGAACTCGGGGATCACACAGCACAGACACCGGCAGTCACACACCAGGCCCCAGGCCCGGCTCTAGATGTATTTTTTCTTGAGGTACCAGTAGGCAAAGTAGCCCATCCCACCCAGGGAGCCCATGAGGAAGGACGCCCCGAAGAAAGAGGGGGGTTTCCGTTTGACCAGCCGGAAAGCGTTGGGGATGACGGCGGAGAGCAGGGTGGTGTGGATGTCGCCCAGCACTTTCCGGAAGGCAAAGCGTCTCTGGACCTTCTCAAAGAAGGACTGCAGGTTGGGCCGGCTGCCGTCTTCCCAGTATTTCTTGGATAGTCCCAGGAACTTGAGGCGGTGCAGGGTGGCCCCCAGGAGGACGTCCGCGAGGGTGAAGGCACAGCCGCAGAGCCACAGCTCGCATTTCTGCCCTGGAGCGGAAGAGAGAGGGATGCCAGGAGGGCAAAGGAGGACACGAGGCGCGCGCGCGCATCTCTGCCCTCCATGGCATAGCGATGCTGGTCTCAGTCCCCTCAAGATCATCCATTCATTCTTGACCCATAGAGATGGTTGGCCATGTCCAATGCTATCTCTCCTCCCGCTTGGTGACGTAGAGGGTCGGTGACAAAGAGAAAGACCCCCAACAAGATGGGCTGACACAGTGGCTGGGTCAATGGACGCAGGTATAACCACTGGGAGGATGGCCAGGGCTGGGCAGCGCTTGATTCTGCTGCATGTAGGGCGCTCTGAGCCAGGATCAGCTTGATGGCACCTAACAACAATACTGTCGGGGTACCAGTCCCCCAACAGTCGATCAGGGCCTTAGGAGCGGCTTTGCAATGACAGAAAATAATATAGTCAAAGGGAGGCACAGGGGCTCCTGTCCCCATGTCAGGACCAAGAGAGCAAATGTAGTTTTCACTGGGCATATGTATTCATGGGGTACACAGATCTTTCAACAGGCATGCACGCGATATGGTGAACATGTGAGAGAGCAAATGGGTCGTAGAATATGTGCGAAATCAAATGAGTCAGCAGCCTAACCTTAAGTGCCCTTGCGGCCTCCCCAGGGTAGCAATCTATGACTCGTGTCGGGCGGGAGGAGACCTCCGAAGGGAGGTGGCTGCTCTTTAGTGGGGGCGGGCAGTAGAGCCTGATTGCTCTTAACTGCAGATAACCTCCAGGCGTACAGCAAACAGCCAGGCACATCTTGTATAACAGCTCCTGTATGGAGGGCAATGGTGGGGCTCTTTGCGGCCGGAGAATGTGTATTTGAGGACGACGCCTATATCTTGGAACAATGGAGGTTTTCCTTGAAGTAAGCTGGTCTTCAGGGCCCGTGGTTGTGAGCCCAGGAGTAAGGCCAGATACACTCTTCCACATCCTCAGTTTTCCATAGCCTCCTCTAGGGGACCTGGTGCCACTGTCAGGTAAGTGATGACAGCTAACCAGGAGGTCGGGGGTTCAAACCCACCAGCCACTCGATGGGAGAAAGCAGAGACTGTGTGCTCCCCTCAGGAGCCCCACCTAGATCATAGGGTTGTTGTGAGTCAGAATTGATTCAGTGGCAATGCGAATACTATGTCTCCTTGTCTTGACTTTTTTCCTTCTTTACATCAACTGACTTTTAAAAGGGAAAGGCATGTATTTAAACTTTAGACTCAATGGCCCATTTGGCTGTTTCCCTTGGGTGTCCGCTGTCCATTTCAAACTCAACACATCCAAGCTGGATGTGTGATGGGCCTGCCCAAGCTGGACACTTGGGTGTCACTCCCACCCCACCCCCACCCCCCTACTCATTTCAGTGACGTCACCCCCATCCTTCCAGCTCCTTAGACCAGAAGTCTTCAACCAGCCCTCTCTGATTGACCTTCATGTCATCCTCTCTCACACCCGACATACAGCCTGTCAGCAATCCCCATCAGCTCTTCCTTCAAAACATCCAGAATCTGATGTCTTTTATTGCCCCCCCCCCTCCACCACCACCTGGGAGAAACCACAGCTACCCCCTCCCTGGTTTAACGCAGAGCAAACAGACAAAACCAGCAGCTGTCTGTGGGTCCCGACACCTGGTGGCCCCATGTGCGTCAATGTAGAGCTGGGCTCTGCGGGGCTCTCAGTGTTGGATCTCCTCCAGGCAGGCTGCCAGGTCTCTCTTACAAGGCACCTCTTGTGGACCTGAACCTCCAACCTTCCTGTTAGCAGCCTAGTGTGTTAACAGTCTGCCTATGCAGGGACCCCAAATTAGCAGGGACCCCGTAAACAGTCCCCCTGCTTCTGCCCTTGCCCCCTCGAGTAAAGCAGCCAGAGGGTTACCATTAACATTTAAATCACTTCTCTATGCTCAAAACCCTCTCCTGCTCATTAGTGAAAGCTGAGGCTAAGAGGCCTTGCATGATGACCCCTGGGTGCCTTTCAGACTTGGACTCCCACTCCTCTCCCCTGGTCGATTTTCCTCCAGCACACTGGCCTCCTTGTCCTTCAACCTCGGGCCCTTTGCACACGATGCTCCCTCGGTCTGAAACACTCTTGCCTTCAGGCCTCACTCCCTGCCTTTCCTCCTCCGGTCTTGGCTCAAATTGCCAGCCTCTCGACTGGGTTTCCTTGAGCACCTACCAAAGGGTTTCAGGACGTTCCTGGAGAAATGCCACGGTCAGTCAAGTCCCCTCGTCCGTGGACTTTTTGAAGCCTTCCTCATGTTGACAACAGAAAGCCACAGCACAGCAATCACCACCCTCTCTCCTGCTTCAATGCCCCCTAGAAGGTCCCGCCATCACGGCATCGCGTGCGCCTGCTCTCTGTCTGCTGTCTTCCTCCTACTAGGATGGAAGCCCCATCTTCCTCTTGCTCAGTGGCTGGTGGTTTCGAACTGCTTACCTTGTGGTTAGCGGCCTAATGCATAACCACTATGCTAGCAAGGCTCCTCTAAGGGGTTAAATCCCGGCATCACACCGAGTTTTTTTCTTGGTATAATTGAGATCATTGGAGAAAACTAAACTTCCGTGATTTTGTATTGTTTCTTGTCACACTCACACGCCACCCAAAATTAGTCTACATAGTTGGGAACATACATGTTTCTCCCAATCATCTTGAATTGAAACACTGAAGTTCTTTTGCCTCCGATATCAAGCACTTTCGGGGGGGCCCCCCATCAAAATCCCTGATTCCCTCCCACTTACCCCAGGTGACCATCCAAATCCCTTTGCCCAGTGTTCAAGATCTCCCAGTAGCCTAGCACCAACAGACTCCTCGAATCCAGTCTTCTCCTGAATCCCCCATCTGCCCACTGTCTCCCCACAAGCGAGCCAGGCCCCTTCTAACCTCTGCGTCTTCACCCCCTGCTGCTGGCTCCCACGCCTGGGACACGCTTTCCTCCTGCGTTTGCATCTTGCACCAGCCACTCCTTTCAGCCGGGCAATCCTGTGACTCTCACACCCTAGCCGGCTCTCCCTCCACCATCAGCGGAGGGAGCCCTGGTGGCGGTGCCCTGTGAAGCCCTCAGCTGGTAACCCCGCATCTCTGCGGGGAGGAAGGTGGGGGTGGGATAGAGCCAGGCAATCTGCTGCCCTGAAGGTTACCGCCGAGAAGCCCAGGGGGACAGTGCCACCTGCCTGCGGGGCCGCTCTGAGTCGGAACCAGGTCAACGGCCACCCTTTCACTCTGTCCCTCCTTATTCATTCAGTAAAGGTGTACACCTTCCTTGGGCATCGAGACACAAGACACAATGTCTTCCTTGTCCGGGTCGGGGGGTGGGGTGCGGAGTAGGGGGAGTAAACGTAAGGAAGGCTTTGGTCAGAAGTTTGTAACCTTCCCGTAATGGTTAGGCACACCCAAGGGCGGTCAGGAGCCCTAAGTTAGAGATACAGGGCCCGACCTAGCTCAGGGGAGCATTTCTCCAGGTTCTTGTTGCTCGGGGCCGCCGCATAGCAACCCCATGTACAACAGGACCAAGCACCACCTGGTCCTGCGTCATCCTCACACCTGGCCTTAGGGTCGAGCCCATCGCTGCAGCCACTGTGTCCACCCATCTTCCCACGGAGGCCCCGGGGCCGGATGGCGTCAGTGAGGAAGCTTGGAGCAGGCTCAGGGCTAGGCCTGGGGCCCTCGGAGATTTAGCGATTGGCCAACGACGACGAGAAAGGAGTGCAGGAGCGTGAGAAGGGGCAGCCTGCGGGGCAAGAGGCGAACAGGGAAGAGTGTAGGGTCCTGGAGTCATTCCCAAGATGGGAATGCGTCTCCAAGAGGAGGGAGTGCTCAACTGGGCTTAAAGGCTGCTGAGAAGTCGCTGAAGCCGAGGCCTGAGACTCCATGGCTGCGTTAGACTCCCAGGGGCCCCGTCAAGAGCGGCTGCTGATGGCCGTCCACCTGGAGCGAGGGCAAAGAGGGTGTGAGAGGAACGGGAGCCGATCAGCCAAGACCTCTTTTCAAAGAGTGTTGTTCAGACAGGAAGCGGGGCCGCCGTGGGAGGCGAGTAGGAAGCGATTTTCAGTTGGGATGGACAGGAGCCTGCTGACGGGCAGGGTCCCCCAGAGAGGAGGGGACTCATCTGGCAGCGAAGAGCAGAGAGGATCGCTGCTGAGATGTGCGGGAGGGGATGAGCGTGGTTCGGATCCATGGATCCAGCACTTGGGGAGGCGATTGGTCCAGGCTACGGCAGAGACCGTTCATCCACAGTCATCAGGGGAAGCGCCCGGTGCCATCCGCCCTCAAATCTCAGTTGCCACCCTAAGGTAAGACACACACCCTCTGCCCCCCCTCCCCCCCCGCCCCCCAAGAGAACAAGGGATTCAACCAAACTCTCAAGTGCAAGAAACGTCACCATGTCAGATGACAGGGCGAGATTTGCCAAGGATGCAGGGTCGGGGCTGAGGACAAGACGCAGGGCCGGGGGTGAGGCTGGAAAGTGGGTCGTTGTGGTCGGGTGGGAGCCCTGAGGATGGCTCCTCGGTGACTAAGAAAGGTTTCAGCAGGGAGCAAGACAGGGAGAGGAGGGAGGGAGGGTCTTGAAGAAAGAAGAAGGTGTGAAGTAGTCATCGCGGGAGGGGTCGGAGCCCTCGGCAGCAGAAAGGGCCACCTGAGGTCGGTGTCCATGGGTTGGGGAGGCTGGCCAGCACCACGGAGCGGGCCCTGAGTAGGAAGACAGAAAGTGAGACAGAGAGTGGCCCTGAACCACTTCCGAGGTTTGCCAAGCGAGATGCTGAAGCCAGGGAAGGGCGGGCAAGTTGAAGGTGGAGGCCCCCCGGGAGGTGCTCAGCGAGCTGGGTCGAGGGGGGCACCTGGGTGCAGAGGGCAGGGAGCTCAGGATGGGAGTGAAGCCCAGGGGAGGGACGAAGGACCAAGGCGGTGGTCCCAGCAGGCAGGAGGACTATGGGCGCTGTGTCTCTAGAGGGAGTAAGCTGAAAAATAGCAGGTGGTGCGATAAGAAGTTGAG